AAACCGAGAAAATGTAGCGACTAACCGAGTAGGAAGCTCGAGGATCTAATAAAGAGCATGACGCTATGACGCTGGCTGGCTACAGGCTGCGAGCGTGGAAAATTATCATAATATCTGGAATTACGCTCATTACCATCAAGGCATTCGCTAATTATCTCAATTGACTGTAGGAGATTGTATAACTGCGCGGCTCTGTGAGAGCGTGCGAGGGGCACCGCCAAAGCTTATATAAACGAGCTAAGCTAATAGTAAGACTTCCTGAAATAAATACAGGCAGCCGTCACACCTGCGGACTGGGAAAACATCTTGAATACCCAATTAGCTATTACTCAGTCTGACGCGCCCGCTTCTTACAATGTAACAAACGCCTAATTGTCGCCTTGATTAATTCATAATATTATTCGGATTTGACTGCGCTCGAACGAAGTAGCGTATCACTTGCGCGGTTGTTTCTGCTCTTCTTTTTCAACTCTGCCTAGCTCTATCCTGCTTTTCATTATTATGCCACTGCGCTCGCGGTAATTGCGGTTTCCAGTAACAAAAGTCATAGTTACAAGGACATGCAAACGCTCGTTCTTTCTTTTATTTACGGATTTCTGAGAACCGCTGAATTTTCAACTGTTCTCTTGTTTTTTTTCATTCGGCTCGTGTCGAGCACGTATTTAACGTACGGTTTAACGTCGTTGAGAGAAAAAGAAGCGAAGCGTCGTAGTCGTTAAATCACACCTAATTCCCTTGTCAAGATGACGCGCGAAGCAACAAGTTTTGTCACATAAAACGAAGAATAAGGAGAAGCAACGCAATGAAAGAGGACGAGTAAACTGGCCGCATATCAGCAGCGTCGATCGGGCGACGCAACAACGCAACAGCAGCAGCCACGAAATGTCATCGCGGCAATTAATTAAGCGTGCAGGGCCGTGCATCATCGGAACATCGATTTCGCATGTCTACGCGTTTCAGAGAGGCTATCGGCTTTGTGCATCTCCGCTACGGTCGCGCGCACGTAAAACGCATCTGCAATTTGCCGGCCGCATTTGAAACCCGCACTGACAACGACCACGGCGTCCACGATGATGATGGTACTGCTAGTGTTTGTGTCTCCCCTCGCGACAATATATATCTAATCGATTCTAGGAAGTCTTCAACGCACGAACGTTCATCGGAAACGTCAGCGGCGGCCGCGCAGCGTAATGATGACAACTATCGTAACGACCAACGTGTACGTACATAAGTGTGGGTGCACATGTACGCCGCCGATATCGCGAGTAAATATGCCCGATTTCGACAATGTTTCGTACGGTTATTAAACGCTGCCGCCTATTGTTGGTCTTAACTCGCTTTCGCTCACTCACACCCGTAATTTCGCATCGATCTCGCAGCTATTATTCCCATTTCGAAAGTTGGTACCGTCAAAAACTAATTGCCATAGATATTGCAAAAAAACAGCGCTATACACTCTTAGCCTACTATTTATATTAAATTTGTGCCAAGACGGTGGGCGCAATTGTTTTCGTAATTTTGATGTTCGCCGTACAGTAAAGGCCCAGAGTAAAAAAGAAGAAAAAAAAACACAACAGTCACATGCAAGAAATTTGTGCAACGTATTATTAGCACCAACAAAAACAATCGGATTCGCGCAAAAAAAAGAACATACATTGCCAAGCGGCGTGGCGCGCACACGCGCGTCTGGCAGCGAGAGAGAGAGAGAGTGCACAGGCGGGCTTAGCTTAATTAAGTTGCACGTGACAGAAGTTTCGCGCTTGCACGCCCCGACGCGGGGACGCAAATAAATTTTCCAGAGAGAAACGGTATTGTCTTTGAGGTCGCGTATTATGTGCCCTCAATAAGTCGCTTAATTAAGTCACCTTCAACATTTTCTTCTCTCCCCCTACCCTCTCTCCTTCTCTCTCTCTCTCTCACACACACACACACTTTTTTTATTGTTTACGAGCCAAGTTTTCACGCCTGTAAAAATTCACGACACATCGGGGAAAATTGTTCATCAAACATTCTATTTCGAGAGGGGAATTGGATCATCACAGTTTACAACGTTGGCTGTAATAAAAAGAATGCAAATTAACGGTTTGTTTATTCAAGTTAAAATTTGTTATATCGAGGGCTGGAACACGTTTCGGCGAAATGAGCTACTTTAGTTTTAGCGACAGATTCGCCGAGACGGCGAACGTGCAGCGAGCTGCAGCAGTGGCGGCGGTGGTGGCGGGTGGCACACCAACACCTCGCGGCAAATAACCCTCACGTATACTCTCACACACTGGAGAAGGGTAGATAAAGCTGTGAGTGGTAAGGGAAAGGGAGTGAGTACAGCGCCCAGCAGCAGCAGGAGCACCTTTCGGAAAACCCAATTGCAGCCGAACACTATTTATTACGAAGTTTCGACGGCTTTCGAAGTCGAAAGTAGCTCACTTCGAGGTAATTACGAGGATCGCGCGTCCTTCTCTCCAAAGTATACCTCGTTCTCTCTCGCCCTCTCTCGCCCTCGCTCGCCCGATTCTATCGGGCATAATTACCTTTCGCTGTCCCTCTCGGATAATCATTGTAACACCTAAGCATACTACCACACCACCACTACCACTACTAACACCACCCACTCACCTATCTAACCTAGCATTTCCACGTTATTCCCCCCACCGCCAACCTTCCCACCCTCCTTCGATCGATGGACTTTCGCGCGTCCGCTCGCTCTTGCCCCCCTAACGGTGATTTCTCCGCGCGTGAGGCAAAAGACGGTGCGCTTTCGCGCAATCGCCATTCGAATACGCGCGTATCTTCTGCCGTTCAATCGCGTCCTTTCTCCATCAAAATCTCAACATTTCATTGAATGACAAATTTTCTCTGCTGATTTTTTGTGGCTTCGGCAGCTGACCCTTTCAATTTTTAATCTCACGTCATTAAATTTGAAAATATTCCCCACGTGTGCTTTTTGCCGAAGTGCTCTTATTGAAAAAGAAAAAATAAATACTCGGTAATCTTGTGCTGTGTTTCAGTAATATTACAAATGGATGTTTTCAAAGCGACAGTTTCATCAATGATTTTTTCATTCAATAACCTGTGACGCAATAATACTACGTGTTCTTGTAAGAAAAAAAGTTAGATTTGGAGAAAGCGCCGCACATGCGAATTACTTGCGCATAACAACTTGAATCAATACTTGAAAATAGCACTTTTCGTGAGTTAGAAAAATGTTTTTCGTCTTTGTCCAGTAGCATAGAGCATGGGGCGAGAGAGCGGATAGCCCGCGCGACGCATTAAATCATTGAAATTTATACAGCCGCGAGCACAGTATCTTTCACTTTTCATTACGCTATCATTTGTCATGTGAAAGGCTGGAAGAGTGGGGAAGAGGAGGGAGGCCGCGGATCCCTTATCACTCGGCGATCATAAACAACCGAGCATAAATTCCAACTTTCGCGCATAACCTGACACGCGAAGCATCGAGCGGCGCCGGCAATTTATTACTTCAAAACGCGACGAGCTATACGCAAGCGGTTGCCTACTGATAAACTTCTGACTCATACTCCACGGTTCGATAATAATTATGGCGCTCGATCGGCAAGATTATTCGCGAGTATGCGATTTACATTGATTTCCAACTTGCGAGCAACCTATATGCATTTATATATATATATATATATATATATAAAGCGATTTCGCCGACTAATGTTAACGAAACCGACTTGAAATATTCAAAACTTATTCGATAAAGGATAATCTTTATTAAAATGTACTTCGCTCTAAGATTCCTTCTGCATATTTAAAATAGATGTTCGAGTGGATCTTCGGCACTGAACTTCTGACCTATATCTTGAAAAATATCGCTCATCTTATTCGCGCGTAGTTATAAGTAGTATACAATTGACTGCAGTCACTGTAGAATTAATTCAACTGATCCTTTATGATATATTAATAGACACTATTTTCAGCGTACTTTTTCGTCTTTCCTATCTTGTTAATTTTTTATTCATCAAATGTACCTATATCAACTCACTCCTTTAGTTCTGTGTTGTGTTCGACAAATGCGTGGATTGGCGTTCTTGAAAACTAAAAGAATAGATAATCCGATTTTTCACCTGCGAAATCAGTCGGCTGTACACACGTACATATACACCTAAACTACCTCATTATTTACATCATTCAGATCGCAATCCAATTAAACGAGCTCAACCGGTTTCGTTTTAATCTTCACCAGTAAAATTATACAATTTCAGTATTCTCTCGAGCGTCGCTTCTTGAAAGTCAGCCCCTCGCGCGCGGTTGAAAATCCTTTTCGTAAACTGCAGGACGAGTTCAATTGGCCATAATTATCGCACAATACAATCGCGATATAAATTAAGGACATTTTTCGCGCCGCGGATGAGAGGAAACACCAACTCTCTCACTACTCGCTTTTCAGACGCTGTAAATTAAAGTTGGTTAGCAGTCATGGCGCGTTTGCCGCGCGTTAATTAAACGCTCATTGTAATAAAAAGTTGTGCCTTTTTTTCAAGACCGTGAAGAGACCGTTGTGGCTTTAGTTTTTATTTATTTATTTTTATTTTTTTTTATAGACCCTCGCGCAAAAATGCATTTTTATGTTTTACCACCGGTTAGGGCTGACCTGGAAAAACGTCGAGACATAGTGCGTTTTTTTGATCTTTAGTTATTAAACGTTACCACGCGATTTCTGTCCCCTCCCCGGTCCCTCCACCCATGATTGTTGGTATACGCGCAGCACTCGATATTTTCGTACTTGTTTTTTTATTTTACCTTCATTTTCATACTACGGAAATGACACCACGAATAGATGGCTCGTTATTTTTCCGGTTTCGTAAATGTATTTGCTTTAATTTTATTTGTTCGTATTCCGAGAACGTTGGTGCTGGGTAGCGTTATCTAACTCCACAGACGCGCAGTATTTTTTTTCAGTCGAAGTTGATTATCGACAGTATTAAAGTTTGAACAAAAAATGAGAAAAAGTTTGTTACTGAAATGTTGTACGTTACCGCTGCTATGTCCGACAGGGTGAATAGTGGGGTGCTGTAATCCATTTCGTTGCTTACCTGCAACACAAAAGTTCGTAGATAGTTTATTTTCTACTTTATTTTGTTGAACAGTACTGTATTTTTGGGATTTTATGTTTTGAGTTATTATCTATATTTCATAGATTTTTGCACATAATAAAAATATTCTCGTTATTGTATACTTAAAGTACTAAAAATACAAGATTAAAATAAGAAAATGAATTGATGAAATATATTTAAAAAATGGAGTGAGCGTTTGTGATCGATCATATCGGCTCTGAACAACTAGCTCAAGCTAGATGTTGACACTTAAAGTATAACTCGGCACTGATATAATGTTTTATGGAATGAAGTAAGGAAAGCAAGAGTAAAAATAGTGCCGCAATGCTGGGTGCCGGTCCGTATTGATTGATGCAAATATCAACAGTAAAAATCACGCTACGAGAATGAAATGGTTAGTAAAATGGTCGGCGAATGAGGAGCGTGTAAGCTCTCGAGGGCATCGCAAAGAGTAATAAAGACTTCGTGTGTCTGGTTGTTGAAACTAGAACACGACTCTGATTATTAGGACTAATTAACGCAGCGCCCGCGCAATGGTCAATAAATTTCGCTCGACACAGAATCAGCAGTTCTAGCGAGCGAGTCGCTCGGCGCACCAGCAGTAGCCGCACGCCAGCAGCGTATCTAACGTAGAGAGCCGTATAACACGGAGTACAGAGAGTGTTCGCACTCCGTGCCTTGATCGCGCGACGGGAGCTAAAGTGCACGGGTAGACACTTATTCGCGGGAGCAAAAGTTTTGCTCGCCCGGCGCATCCACGCGATATAGACCGTGCAGCAGCACCTGTGCGTACGTGCCAGACAATAAATAATAAGATGCACAGCCGCCACTTGACGTATTCTCACATTTACTAAGTGGCAAAGACACGCGCACGTGCGCACGCACGCAGCTCGCGATTTATTATCCTTTGATCGCGCGGAAAATATCAAAAAGATTAAAAATAAAATCTAGCGTGCCTCGCGCATGCGCGCGCGCGCGCGCTCGCTCGCTTTATCCAAATTTCATATGCGCGTCTCTCGGAGATTTATTCCCCGACTAAAATAAATCCTCGACACAATAAAACATTGCTAATGCAAGCCGTGCCGTCAAAATGCGCCAAATCGCGAAGAGCGACCGACGGAGAGGGGAGGGAGTATTATTTTTAACTTGCTTGAATTTTTGCGAGCGCGCGAAAATAACGCCGGCCGCTATGAAAAATCGTCAAAATTCCTTCGTAGCGCTGGCATCAAAGAGCAACGGGGGAAAAAAGAGAGAAGATGAGTGTCCTGATGTCCGCAAATATACCGCACGCGCGCACGCGTATTATGCTCCAGAGAGAAACTTGAGAGGTGTGCGGAGGAGTTTATAATAGTACATCTCGCCTATATATACCTGTACGTCGTTGACGGAATGAATATTCGAAGCCTTCGAGAGAGGAAAAAAGGAGCGAAACGAGCCAGAAAAAAAGAAAGAAGGCATTACACGGTGGCGCGCGATATGATGTTTGTTGGAACACACATTTAATTACGAGGCCGCCGGCCGGCAAAAGCGTGCGCATTGTTGTGCGTGTGCGAGTGAAAGAGAACGAGATGCGTTTAATTCACACGTTGAGTACGTCCCCCGTGACGCTAAGGCCGCTTAAATTAAAGCCGGATGATAAAAGTTCGCGCAAGCGAGCTAGCGAGAGAAAGAGAGTCCAGTCTGGCTGCTGGCACGCTGTTATGTATTTTTTTTTCACTTTTTTTATTTTTCTTTTTGTTGCACGCCGCTTTCTCCTTATTTACGTCTAGTTCGCCGGCTTCGTTTTTTAATAATTTTCGCGCTTAAACACGCCTTTTTGACGTTATGCGAGCGCAAAAGAGCGAGAGAGAAAGAACACACGTCACACGTTTAAAACCGCCAGCCTGTCGCTTGCGCCAGCTATGCGCGAATTATTCAGCAACTATTTGCGGCACACAGAGAGCTTTTTATTTGTCGATGGGATTACGGTCAATCAAGCCTGATTTTTCTGCTAAATTTATTTTTCGAGTGCGATAGAAACATTTTTAATGGCATCATCTCACGCGATGTTTTAATTGAATTTTGCAGCGTCTTATCAACTCTGCGCACTTTTTATGAATTGCCTTGAAGCAGACTATATTCTAAGAAGTTATGGTAAAAAAAAGCTTAAATAAAATATTTTTGGAATTTAATATGATTTCCTGGACGAGCAGCATTCGTAATAATTAATCGCATTACATCCGTAAGTAATGACGAGACACATGCATAATACGGGTCACTCGCGGCGCAAAGTCCTAGTGGCGGACAGTGCTACAGTATTGTGAGATTGTATGACTTGAATCTTGGCACGCATCTTAATGCGCGTCCGAGCATTTAGAGAGTCGCGCAGCTTGCGAGTGAGCGATATATAGGTGCAAAGGCCGTCGAGGCAATCGCGACTCTCATCAACACGAATGGTCATTTGCGTTTGGTTACACAAGCTCGATTTTACAATTTTCCTCGACATGAATATTCCTTTGAAAATTGCAGGCTCAATTTCGAGAGCGATGGTTTAAGCACTAGAGCGTAATACCACGCCGCTACAAACTTAGTTTTTGCATTTGCATAAAATCGCTGCGAGCTGCGCCTTCGAAGATAATAAAATGAAACTAAACAAATAATGTCGTCATCGGCGGGCTGCTGTTTGCGAAAGCGCTAAGCATTAATTACGTTTGAAATTCTCTCTCCGCCATAGCGCATAAGTGTCGTTCGTCTCTCCCCGTGGGCGCGAGCACGAAACTTAAATAAAAGGGCTGACTGCGAGTCTCTCGCGGATTTTAATTTACGATCTAGATTAGCGAGCGCGTTATATTGAAGTTTATTACCTTTTTGCGCCGTTCGGCCAAACTTTTCTCTCTCTTTCATTGTGCTGCGCGTAGAGAGAGTGAGAGAGAGAAAGAGAGAGAGAGAGAGAATGAGAGGTTTTAAAGTCAATATGACCGAGGCATAAAAGCGTATTGATGAATTTATGATTTCGGAAAAGTTTATTTCTTTTACGTGGCCGTTAATTAAACTACACCCTGCGTTCATTTAATTCGCCAATTTGCCAATCTTTTTGTGTATCGCACAATTTTTAATTCGCGCATATCGCGAACATATTTTGAATCGTCAAGTGTACCAACAGTGTTTCAACAGATCGTCAGTACTCATTATCCATCAAACACAAGTCTGCAGTCTGATTAATATGAATAAAAGAATCGCTACACAACGAAGCCGGGATAATTCGATCTTTTGAAGAGCCGAGCAAATTGTTATTTATTACCAATGGGTATTTGCTGCGGAATTCACGGCGAAAAGTTATCCGTCAGGGTATCCCGCTCGTTGCTCAATCGTCAGGAGCACAAAGGGAGATTTTCTCCTCTCTCTCTCTCTCTCTCTCTCTCCCTCTCTCTTATGGTACTCATAGACATGTCTCGCTCACGAAGCAGTCCGCTGTTACTGTACTGTACCGTCGATTATGCGGAACACGGCCGTATGATAAGCAGGCCGCCTCGAGAATTTTACGAGAACGCGCGGACGGAGACATTGATGGACAAGCGTAGCTTTATATGGGGAGGCTCTTCGCCGCTGCCGCCGCCGCCGCCGTCGTCGTCGTCGCAGCATCTTACCGTTTACATATTTATGTTATGACTGTGCCGGCCCTGCGCGCTGCACACTCGACTTAATTGACGGAATTGCCATAAATTTGCGAATATCGCCGCGTATACGTGTATGTGTATATACGCTTAGGTAGAAACTGAGAGTCTATACTGTCTCTCTTTCTCTCTCGTATACATTTAAGAAGCTTCAACCTTTATGTACACATACGAGAGCTGACTTATTGTGCTGCATGTATAAAAGACCACAAGGCTGCACAGCTGAAATTGATGTATATCCGAGAACAAAAGGACGTATCGCCATGCACTTATTTATTTTCTTCATTTTTTGTCGGCATCGCGTTCAATTAAAACTCATCGTTATGAGGTAAACGAAAGCAGGTAATTTACAAGCGACACCATAAATCGACTTATCTCTATCTAAGCGAAGCCAGAGATAAGATACGCAATAAGAGCGAGTCATCGGTACGTTCTAGATGTATGCTTTTCGTAAATTGACCCTGTACGTAATAATCCACGTTGTCATGGCTTCGATGTTATTATCAATAACCGAAAATCGTAAATTAAAATAACGAACAGTTGGCAAATACAGCGGACGGTGTGTGTGTGGGAATCGAATGCAATTGGAACGACGTATGCTTTATATGCGGTTTTCTTTCTAACGGTCGCGATAAACAAGGATGGGGGCGAGCTTGGCTAAATATTGGCAAACACGAGTACACGTATACTGTCACAATTCTTGCATATACAGCTTTCAGTCGTCCCGTCTAATTTGAAATTGAAATGGGCAAATGTCGTTAAGGTTCGCTCGATGCTGATTTCGCATATGCGTGCGCTTTGGCTTCATGGTCTTTAATTACGGAGGACGAGCAAACGCCGTGCCGCGGCTGTTTCCATTTTAAAAATCGAGGCATCTATCTGTCTCGCGAGGACTTTTTTTCACCGAGAGTGAAAAATGCCACGCTGTGTTGTAATATCAGGGAATTGTGCAAGCGACGTTGCGGATTGAAAATGACGCCGAGGATCATTTGTCTGTCTCGCGAGCGTGAGCGAGTGCGCGGAGTACAGCGCATCGGTTTATTTCCAACGGATAATCCAAACAAATGTACTCAGCGCTCTCGCGAGGAACCAAGTAAATAACATGCAAATTCCGTAATGCTGCTTGACCGATGACCATACTGCGTTCGGACGTGCTTCCTCCCCAGACGTAAAAGCCCGCTCTTTCTCCCTGTGCAAGACTCGACGTTGAATTACAAGATGCTTCTCTAACTTATATGCAGCGCTGAATGAATTGCGCTCTGCAACGGCCAGCTTGATCAAACGCCATTTTTCGTCAAACTAAGCTCTGCACTTTCTCAACTTATT